ATGAACATTTCTTGAAATCATGAACAATTTTTGAAATCATGAACATTATTCAAATACATGAACATTTTTTAAAATCATGAACATTTTTAAAGTTCTGGTACATGTTTTACAAATTTGTGAACACTTTTTAAATTGATGACATTTTAAAAATTCCACACTTTTTTAACTTTGACTTATTTGCGATTTTTCTTTTCAAGTTCATGAACATTTGTTCCTCGAATTCAAAAAATGTTGATCAATGTAAAAAATGGTCAATAATTCAAAAAAAATCATCGAATTCAAAAAATAATTATCAGATTAAAAAAATGTTCATCAAATTCAAAATTTATTTATCGAATTTAAAAGATGTTCATCAAATTCCAAATTTGTTCATTGATTTAAAAAACATATCCATCAAATTCAAAATTGTTCGTCTATTTTACCAAAAAAATGTCCTTGAATACAAATTCTGCTCATCAAGTTCAAAAAAAATTTATCGACTTTAAAATTTGTTCATCAAGTACAAAAAATTATTCGTCATAATTAAAAAAACTACAGGGTAACCCTCGCATTTGCATATATCATTAGATAATCCTGTGGAGTTAATAGTGAAAATACATGATTTGATATATTTGTCGGCCTCAAACAATTATTGTACCCGGCACCAATTGCTTCTTGTTTAATCTGCCGATATGTTATTATAAATACCTTCCAAGAAATAGATAATTTACCAAATATATCTAGAAGAAGAATGATTCAACTTTGGGGGAAATCATAGGCATTTTGTAGGGAGCTTTATCATGTGCAAATAGTGGACCAAAGGCGTTGTAGTTTTTAATTTGCAAGCAAAACCGTATCTCATAACAATTGCTAGTGATGACTTAGATGCAAATCTTATGCTATTTTCCTCCACTGGTCTTCTTCCTTGATTTTGTATCAGCTGCTTTTGTACACGCTCATCTATTTCTTGGAAGATGAACCTCTCATCTATTTAATGATAGATACAATGTATTGGCCAAAGCGTGTGATGCACTGAAGCAGAAAATTTTCTCACATAAATATAGGTTGATTAGTAGATAAGGCATAATCACACGGCGAAAAGCCCACCAAAACACCGCATTATTATAAAGAAAAAGAAAGAAACTCCATCATCTCTCCCACTCGCCAAACCAAATATTCCCTAGGTTTCAAAATATAAGATGCGTTAGTTTTTTTAGTAGTTAAATTTCTTTACTTTGACCAACTTCAGAGCCAAAAATAAATAAAAATATAAAAAAATCAATGTACAATGAATCTAATGATACCGATTTAATATTGTGGGTATTGATATACTTCTCTACGAATTTGGTTAAACATAAAGAGCTTTGACTTTTCCAAAAAGGATACACCTTATACTTTGAAACAGATGAAGTTAAAAACATTATGAAAACTCAACAACACCAACGGCGTAACAAAGCGCGTCCAACCCTTAACATATCAAAGATGTGAAATTAGCATGATACGGTGGGATGACAAACGTACACATATTTCAAAGATGTGGAACTAAAACATCCAAAGAAGCCTTTGAATCGCAATCCAAATACAACATTCAAACATGCCTTTGAATCGCAATTCAAAGCTCAGTACCGCCATCTAAATGTGCTCAGCTCCGCAGATTCTCTCATATAATATGTGATGATGGTTGGCACCCCACAGAATCCTAAAGAGCATTTCAGTACAAATGTCTAAATGTAAACAGCGAATTCAAGATTTCAGTAAAATGTCACAAGTACAAATTCATACTTCAGTAGTCATTGACCTGAAGACTTTTTTTAAAAGGCTTCCTTGCAAGCTATCTAATCCACGCATTGAAAAAAATTCAGGCAAGATACCCATTTTTTACTGCCAATGCCCTACCAAAATTCACTTACCTAATTTTCTTTTCCAGGAAAGATATATCCATTTTCCACAACCAGTTTATGAAACGGCCACTGCCGTACCAAGTGCTGAACATATTGTCCTTTGTATTATAACAGAATAGAAGGGAACTTAGGTAGTGTATGAAGCTTGGTAGACGCGGCTGCCTTCGGATAGCATGGTACTACTATTATCATCTTGGTCCTCTGCCAAATTGAAGCCAAG